TATATTAAAATAAGTTTTACCTACTTTAAACACGAATAAAGAAAATAAAAAATAATTATAGTGTTAATTTTATTTGTAAATACGAAATTATTTATGTTTAATTAATTTAAGTTCACTATAAAAAATGTAAAGGCTTTTTATTAAATACATGCAAAAAAAAGTAGATTATCTTGAATAATATAAAATAAAATAAAACATTTTAATAAACCGAAAACCGTGAATTCAAGTCTAATAGAAGATATTTCTATTATTTCTTCTCGAATTGGTAATTGAAATATAAAATTTAATAATAAATATAATTGKTGAGTTGTAATCTGTGCATAATAATGGTGCCTACAGTAAGCTTGAAACTTTCGTTTAATAATATTATGATGTTTAAATTTATATGAATTAAATATTCTATTTAAGTGTAAATACAAATCATAATAGAAATATTATAATTCGTGGGAAGAAAAAACATTATAAAATATTTATAAATTAAGTAGAATTGTCCTTCAAAGGTACAGAAGAAAAGTATCGTATATTGTTATAGCAGTTTCACAACAATACCAATATTATTAGTATTTATTACTCAGACATAATATGGGTTCGATGGTTTTTGACTTACAAGGTTAATATAATTTATCGAAATAATGAACACGACAACACGACAGTTTATTTATATCGTTATTATGTAGGCTCACTCTATTAATACACGACCTACTACACAGACCAWACATAACTWAGCGAAGTTATCGCAACAGTTTTGGAGGATAAAAATCGATCAGTGCTTTTATTAACCTTCAGAATATTATATTTTGTTCACAGGGAACCTGGATCACTGCTAATTGTAACCGGTAGTGCGAGTGACCGGCATAATTATAAACGAATATTATCACAGGTATAATTAATTAATATAATAATCAAAATAATATCGGCTACAAGTAACGAATATTGCAGGGAAACGATATTGACACATCGATGATTTTAATAATGTTATTTTAATTATCCGCTATTTTTGATAGTCCTTCGATTTTTATTTCAATCGCTGTATTCATTACTAATTACTTATTACTTATTAGTAATGATAATTATTAATATTATCATAATAATATGAGTACTCGCTATACGATGGTAATGTTTTTATAATCGTATAACCATAGAGGTAATAATTGCATCATACGGACAATACATACTCGTAAAATATTATACAGAGTGTTTCACCAAGCATGCTCATCACCAATTTTTTCATGAATAGTACATTGATTCAAATCATGAACTTTAGAAAGTTCAAGTAACTATATTTCAATTAATCAATTAATAAAACCATATTTTCATAAAAGTACTTGGATTTTTATGAAATCTTAGGCGTGTGTTTTACATTTTTGTAGCGATGTATACTGRTTTTTTCAAAAAAAGATAGGGGAGGGCGGATTTAGTTGTTACACGGGTGAAGATATTTTATACTTCCAATTATGGTAACACTGCCGAGACTGGACGAAAAAATTACATTATCATTAATTCTTAGATCATATACAATGGATGGAGCCAYAACCTATAGATTACACATATTGGCGATGATGTACATATTCGCGACGAGTCGCCAAAAAAATATGACCTCTATTGCGCATAAGCCGCTAGCTACAACTAGTCGCATATTTAGCTAAAATCATTTATTCGTATTTCTTATCAAAAGACATTTTGGGAAAAATATGCGACAAGTCTCGAGTGCGCATGCGCAGAAAGGTGCACACAACTGGCGACTGTCGCTAACATGTACAATATGTACATCAACATGTTGAGCTGTGGCTCCATCCATATTGTATGTGATCTAAGCATTAATTGCATATTATGTTTTGTAATAATATCGAGTACATTTTATCTGTGTTTTGAATTGACAACGTTTTTCTGTAATTTGTTMTCAAAAGTAACTTTTGTTCCGCGACTTGCGTTTTTTTTTTTTACAACGCACAAATTCAAGATGAGATTATTTTGTCATTTAATAATTCTTCATTATGTAGTACTACATCATATTCTAACTATAGAATTCAATTTCATTAATCCATTTCGAATAAATAAATTATAATAGAAAAAAAACGATAAGAGGCACGTTGTTACATTTCGCCAGGGGCATGTTGTTACTTATTAATACAACGACTTACAATATAACTTATATAATATAATATAAAATAATACTTTATTTTATTATATTATATTATATTACTTATAAATTATAACAATGTTATTTTAACAATTATTTATATTTTGTTTTTAAATAAGGTAGTTACCTATATTTATTTGTATTCAATAGGACTACATCAGTATATTATACTCATAAAAAGGAAAATTTTATTGTTTATTTATATTTTGTTACTATAAATATATTATATGATAAAATTTTTATCATTACTGTTACTGTTGATTTCTTATTTATTTTGGGTAATAATATTTCAAAATGTAGAATGTAACAATGTGCCCCTGGACTATAACAATTTACTCCACCCAGGGATAGGTTGTTACACTTCGACTTAATGACTTTACCAGGGTTTTTTTAATATTAAAAATTAATTTTTTTTTATTTTACTATCATAAAAAGATACCCAAGGAGTTACTTAATAGAATGGTGTCACAACAATTATGATCATAGTAAAAGAAAAATTATAAAAAATTGATCAGTCAAAAGTGTAACAACTAACTCCGCTCTCCCCCACATCTTTTGTTATTGTAAATGAATGGAATAATTCTGTATTATACACATACACACACACACAAATGGCCCAAAGAATTATTTTTATTATAGTTACTTATAAAAAAATGTCCACAAAATTGTCGACTTGAACGAATTAATGCTAAATTGATGTTGGTACCGTATATATACATATAACTTTTAATACTTGGAAATGATTAAAATGAATAAATTATTAATCTTTATTAATACACAAAAATATATAACTAAATTATTACTGTACTATTATAATTTATTTATAATTAAAGTAAAATAAATTATAGATCAACATTTCAATGCTTGAAACTATTAATTATTATTATACTACCTAACAATTATTTAATACATWACATTTATTATCTTTTCGATTATGATATCACATCATGGTTATGCACTTGATATAGGTATGTGCAATGGTCGCTCAGAGTTTATTGATGTTGGATTTGGGAATGATGATAGTCGTTCCAACAATTGTCATCGGCGCCCTTCATAACGCAAAAGAGGGCCTTTCGCTGGACGATACTCAGTCCTCATGGATTGGTAAATGTTCAATACTATTACGTTTTGATTAAATCAGTATTCGTACTGTTTTTTTTTTGACTTGCGAGTTTTTTTTTAAAACTATAGATTATCTAAAAAATATAATATTTAAAAACTGTATGTACACCTCGAAATTAATATTGGTTGAAACTTTTATAGGTTAAWATATGCACYCTATCGGAGTTGATAATAAGCCATAATATGAATGCCTTTTATGAATTCTTTTCAGTTCAAGAAAAAATAAACGAATCTTTGCAGTTTGCACAGACATTGCCGGGCGGGACAACTAGTTTATATAATATAAAAATATATGTTGGTTTATCTAAAGGTTATAGACTCGACAAGTACTGATCCGCTTTCAATACAATTTATATAAATAGATTCCCTGAGAATTAGATAGTGTATACAGCTTATTTTTTTATTTCTTTGACATCATGTTTTTTTTCAGCTTACGAAAAAATAAGAATTATTTTTTTCGTTTATTTAAATGTTTGTCATTGGTTACGTGTTATACTTTACTATTGAAGTTAGTAGAAATATGGCATATATATTTTTTTTCACAAATATATTAAAATATATATAAAAAAAACACAATTCTTTGGGAAAACTACAGTATTGCATAGTAACTTAGAAATTTAACCTAACCTTAGAAATTATTTTTACGTTCGTAAAACAATGTCCGGTACTCTGCTTTAGCTAGCATAATTTTGCTGTGCCAACCCCTGGGCTGCGTGCTGTCGGGCTGCTTGCAGGGCATATTTGGCCGGAAGTGGTGCATGCTGCTAGTGAACRTACCCCACTTGGCCGCCTGGTACCTTCTGTATACGGCTGGATCCACGTGGATGCTGTACGCGGCATCAGCGGCTATGGGTATAGGCATTGGGTTCCTGGAGGCGCCCACGATGGCATACATCGGCGAAATCAGCGAACCAAACGTCCGGGGTATACTTTCCACATTCACCAGCTCCATGATCGTTCTAGGACACCTGCTAGAGTTTGTGCTCGGGTGTATATTTCCGTGGAGGACAACAATGCTAGTCAGCTGCCTAGTACCTGCTATCGCCGCCRTCGCCATTTCGTTCGTAAGACAGTTAATTAATTTTTTTTTTWTTATTATTATTATTAAGGGGAACCCGTGGTAACATAAGCCTAGTGTTAATATTAATAATAATGATTTCTGGAGGTTGAAAATGCCATTATTGAATTTTTAAAAATCAAGATATTCAAATATATTTTTATGTATCACACATTTGATATTTGATTTATCAGAATTTGAGTTTTGAATTTATATTAAACCTGAAGTGTAGGTATATTTCTAAATTTGACATTTCGTAAAATTCCTAAAGGTATTATACACACGTTTTATATTATTGTATATAATTATGATGAAATACACTATCTTCATCGTAATTTCGATGACTACATTAGGTACCAAATTGTATCTAACCAACTTATTTGAATCTAAAACAAATATTGTAAATTAATTTACAATACTTAAAGCATCGATATAAAATATTATTCTAAAGATTTTTCAAATCAATTTTTCAGTTTTAGAGTTAATATTCTTCAAGTGTTTATTAGTTTTTATAGTATAATTACACAWCATTTTGTTTTAGTAATATATATTATTAATCTATTAATAATAATTTTTCTCCACATATATTAGTATTACATACAATATTTTTTGTGTGTCAAAATAAACGATTACAACAAAACATGTTTATAATATGAAAACGTCGTAGACCAATGAGTTTGGATMAAAACATTGCATTMAATACAGTTATTTGTCAATTAATACGATTGGGGTGATTTAATATCTGGTTTTTAACATTAAATAAACCTCTGTTACACAGATCCCCGAATCACCCATCTGGTTATTGACGAAGGGAAGGAGAGACGAGGCATTGTCGTCATTGAGATGGCTCCGGGGATGGGTTTCCGCCGAAGAGGTGAGTGAAGAATTTCACAATCTTGAACTGTACTGTCAGGCATCCAAAAACGAGTTTAACAGTTTGTTGGAAGCCAARATCAGGAAATCATCAGGATACGTCGGTGTTCCAGGTTTGACAATACGGGATTTTCTTTGCAMCACGTCCGGAAATGGGCTAAGCATTAGAAATGATGATGAGTCATGTTTTTTTTTCCTACAGAYTGCGAATTCGTTATGAAGAGCGAACCCAACGCCGTGGACATCGTCAGGGACTTTTTTCGTCCTGGAATCTTAATACCACTACGACTGGTCGTGGTCTACTTCTTCTTTTTCCACGCCGCATCGCTGACGGCCATGCGACCATACATGATCGAAGTCTTCTCCCGGCTGGAAGTGCCCATATCACCGAACGTACTCACCGTAAGCGCGCTGTTTTTTCATAATGCAAAATCTACATTGCACACCTATAGCCTCTATACACGTCAGTCAAAATTCATTATGCCGTCTTTGACGAATTGTTGTAGAAAATGGGACCACTAAGTCATGGGATTTTAGAGCCCAGAGGTGCAACTACGATATAAATTCTTGAATAATGGAAGTTGAGAGTAGTCCTACTGACTTAAATCATGTACCGACTTATAGGCAGTGGATATGGTATCTCTAGGAATAAACACGTTTTTATCGGGRAAAAAACCACCAACCAATTTAAATATTATACACAATAATACAATTTAAAAATCGTCCCCAGAAGTATTTATATACAATATTACAATAAATGTGCAAATGTACATACGTATTATAYGCTAATAGYTTATCACTGTATGTTTAAAACCAGTCTATAGTTAAATATTCTTTTTTTTTGAAAAATGTGTACCTTAACATCGATAATTTAAGTATAAGTAGCTACTATCAATCATTTTCATTATTGTATATTTAATACCCTATTATTTATGAATAATATTACCATTTTAGATCTTGTCTGCGGCTTTACAAGGCACTGGAGCACTAATATGTATGTGCTTGATGCGACTGGTCGGAAAAAGAGTTCTGTCATTGGTCTCTATGTCGGGTTGTGCGCTGTGCTGTTTGTCATTAGGCGTCTACACTTACGTCACAACACAGCACCAGTGGTCATCCGTACCGACGATACCACTATTATTGTTTTGCACACTGTACTTCACAATGAACTTGGGCATCAGTCCCGTACCATGGTTACTGATAAGTGAAGTATTTCCGAACAGGTGAAATTTTTTAAGAAAAAAATCTTTAATTTTTACAATCGGATTCCCGTTTTTTATAATACGTCGTTCAAAATACGCTCGTWTTTTATGCTGTTATAGAGGTCGAGGAGTGGCCAGCGGAATATGCGCGGCAATTTTTTACGGAATCGCGTTCCTGGTATCGAAGACGTGGTTGAATCTCCAAAACTCAGTTGAATTACATGGATGCTTTTTCTTGTACGGAATCCTTGCCGTCATTGGTATAATGTTTGTATACATTTGTTTGCCGGAGACTGAAGGCAAGACACTAGCCGAAATCGAAAATAATTTTGCGAAGAAAAATGTTAAATAAGTTCAAATATCAAGCAACAAGCACGGCGTAATAATAAAATATCACATTATTCTGTGTTGATGTAATAGTATGTACCTATACACTACAAAAGAGGACCGGGTCACAAGTGTTCTGCAAATATATTTTTAATGTCCCCTACGAATATAAGTATAATAATTGTAAAAACAAACCAATGGTCACGTTACCGATGCTTTTTCCTTAATAATAAAAAAAAAAAGTATAATAATATAATTATATAAATTACCACCAGTTACAAATTTAGTTTATAAAATGTAATATATAACGTAAAATATTACTATGCGCATAATGTGATTATTAATTATAATAGTAACATGACAATATTTTCATAAAATTAAAATTAAATGTACCATAATGAAAATTAAATTTAAGATATTATATGTTGAATTATTTTTTTTTTGGTAGGTACTAAAATACATACTTTTCGTCAATAGTCATATCATCAGAACATATTTAAACTAACATAAATACATTTAAGGAGTATAATAAATAAAAAATAATAGTTATTAATTATATATTTTATAGTTTACATTATATACATACTTAACTGCGTAAAAATATCTTTAAAAACAAGTATAGGTATGCGATGKAAATAATTTATACAATGCCACAGTCATACAATATTAATAAATGTCATATTGTATTAAAATTGAAAATAATTTGATGGCCTTAAATTGACTATCCAGTGCGCCGTCCAAAAGTTTATAACATTTCGTTAAAATAATTTTTAATGCCAAAAAAATGAATGTTTCATTTTTAAATATTTTATTGATTTGATAGGAATATTTTTACTRTCAAGTCTTACATAACAAGTTAATAAAATAAAAATTAACGACWATCGAACCYCAAAATTGTATTACATTCTAATAATCTATGATATTACTGCATACTTAGGATATGTGTATSTAYTTAACGAACTCAATATTTTACGTTTTTAATTTAAGCAAACTATTTTATAATTTTTAATTTTCAATTTAAATAAATTAAATATGATAATGTAATACATTATTTTATTTCAAAATGTTATTTTTTATAGTGGTTATGTATTAATTTACTTCCTTATTTATTGTGAATGCATTTTGTCACTATCTAGTACTAATTTTTTTTTCAACAGCTACATATTATATACTGCATAATGCATATGCTTTCTAATTAAATAACCGATGTGTTTTTGTTTCCAAAATCTTATCGCATTTTCGCAAGATCAACAGTTCATAACCATGTAATTTTTTTGCTATACTTTTAATTGCTAAATAGTTTTACTAATAATTATTGCAAAAAAACATGTAAGGGCATTTAGTAATGTATCGCATTCCTTTTGTTGTGACATTACGTACAATTTATATTATGTATTATAATAATATTTTAATGGAATTCGAATATGTTTTCATCTAATATTAGTATGCCACATAATACCATARGTAGTATTAATATATTACGAATGAATTTTATATTTAAAAAAATATGTCATCGTGTATCACTTTAAAAAAAATAATTTATTTTATCAAAAAATTAAATAATAATAATAATATATAATCTGTACATAATATTATATGTACAAAAATGTATAAAATAATGAGCAGTTTAATCACAGCGATAACGGACACTTGCAGACCTTAATATTAGAATTATTATTCGTTTGTGTCTTATTTGAATCATCTTCATTGCAACACCGATGATGCCTCTGGCAGTTGCTGTTATTGTTAGGTCTTTCAATCGAACGGAGTGAGTCTTCAAAATTGTCACTAGACCTGTTGAATATAATAATACCATAAAATAATCATATCTAGTATCGTATTTGGTGTCGACCGACAGTATGATAAAAACCACTCGTTTGATTTTTTTTTTTTATATATTTACATCAACGATTCTAAAATAATTATCTGACTCAGCAGTTCGCAAAAAAATTGTTGGAAGTCTCATTTGGAAATTAAAAGTTTTTATCTACCCCTTCCTCTAATTAGTATTAAAAATCACAGTTATTCGAAAAAAAAATTAAATTTAATATTCCTATTTAAAATTTACAAAAATCATAATACAGTAGTCACTCGGTGACTTGGTGAGGCGTGGTCGTACGCTCAATCTGCGGAAACRCACTGAGCKTACGTACCGRCCGCAGTTGCTAGCTCCCGGATGGGTGACCACCCGGGATTTTTAGCAACATATCCTTGCCACACATACACAAACACGTGTTACAACCCTACCCACTTAAARWCYTACAAAYAAATATACAAAAATAACCCCTACCGTACCACCCCACACCCAATGGCCTATGTTGCCGCGGGTTCTTCTTACAAAAAAATAAAATAAAAAGTAGTCACTCGATAATTCGAAAAACTCTATAAATCTAACTTAACGATAAGTCTCCTGAAAAACATCTATAATTAGAAAAAAATACATGTATTCCGGTCCCCTCGATAATTCGAAATGTCTGTCGGTGAGGCACACTCTACAATTCAAATTTTTTTCAACGAACCTCTATAATTCGAATTTCTTTAAACACGATTATATGTAAGTTCAATAGTTCATATGTATAAAAATGATATACAATCTATTTAACGTACTCGTAATAAAAACTAATAACGACGATGGTTAAATATTATCGCAGTTTATAAATGTTATCGTATCTTACCTACCTAATTTAAACTTTAATTGTATTATTTTACCAAAATAAACCTCTGCAATGGGTAAATCATTATTGAAATTGAATAAAACGTAGTCAGTCGCCATATGGGTCCCGTAAAATAAACGTAATATATATGTATATATATACAATTTTCCACCTCTCTTTAATTCGAATTAATTTTTTCCCCTCGATTATTCGAGCACTCGGTAAATCGAAAACCTCTATAAATCGAATTTTTAACTCGATCCCTTGAATTTCGAATTTATCAAGTGACTACTGTATGAAAAACTCCATTATTTCTATTAAGGGTGCGAGTGTCATTAATGAATCAACCTGTATGATATTGAACTGGGACAAACTTACTTCATGACGAAGGACTCGGTTAAACTGGCGGTKCCCGTGCTTCCGGTAGCACTGCTACACGAACAACAATCGTTTTGCAGATGATCGTGATGATCACTCCTAGTCCCACACTGAGGACGCAAATGAGTGACTGGCGGTTCGACGGGTATGATCGACCTCGACTGATTGCATCGTAGACCTCTCCGCAAGTGTTTTGGATTRGTCACTGCACCGCCGTACAAAAGCGAACCCTCCATAAAAGACGTGGGGTTCTGTAGCGATCTGGGTTCACACGTCGATAACCTCGCTAGACTTCCGTTACTCAATGTGAATGGAGACCTCTCGTGGAAACCGAAATTTCCATAGGAAGAAATCGTCTTATTTTTCTCCCTGCAGGTGTATACAGTATTAAAATAATCAAGTGTTTATATTTTTGTTTTATAATTATTATTTGTACCTTTTACGTCCCGTGCACACACACGTCACGCCGGTAATGGCTCCCATGAAAATAATAAATCCGAACAAAACCGTTAACAGTTCGAACGTCGTATAAAGGCTTAATGAGTTTTCCACCACTACGTCGTTGTGGCTTTTCGGAATTCGAGAAAATCCGATGAATTGCAGAGGCTTTAGTTGGTGATTGATTTCATCTTGGTGGTCCAACATCAAACTAAAAAAAATGAACACAGTTAACACCAGTAAGTGTGTGACAATAATATTTTAAAATATAAAATAATATTATTAAAATGTACTTACTTCATTAGTAAATCACTATCTGCCAATGCGTTTGTAATAGGATCCACAGCATAAAGTTGAATATCAGTCCTGAAATATTTCGTAAATTTTTAAGCAAAATAAACAATAATAATATGATAGATATTTAAAACAATACATTCATAATTTTTTACTAGGCATGTGTTCACAATTTAAAGTTAGGGTYCTATGGTTAAAACAAAAATACATATTTAGAATATATTGTTTATTTTAAACAGTATTACATTTTAAGCTTATTAACTGAGATCAATACGTGTTTTTAATGAACTTTTTTTAAAGATCGAAGTTAACAACATCTGTACTATATGATTGACTGACATTAAGTACAAAGTATTTTAACATTTTAATTTTTAATTTAACTRATCAACTATTAAGCTTATACTACTTATRGTCAGGGTTGGGCAAGATACACATAAAACAATATCGAGATACTAGATACAAGATACTTTGCTTTGGAGTATCGCGATACAAGACACTAGATACTTGGCTTTAGAGTATCGCAATACTAGATACTCGATACTTGGCTTTGGAGTATYGCGATACTAAAAACTCGACACATTTTAATAAAATTAGTCACTGGTTTWAAAAAAAAAAATATGTTTATTATTATGGGGATGACCACCTTCGTTAAATATGGCAAATAAAATAATAAAAATTGACTCTTATTCAGTAATAAMAAAACGAATCAATTACGACATAACGTAATCTCGTTGTCGTCAACAAATGCAATAATAACCACAATACAATTTCAGAACAATTAAATAATAATAATTATATCAATAATAATTCTACATTAAAAATTATATAAATACATAATAAAAATAATTTTAGTAATAACATAATGTCCTAAATCCTGATATATAATAAATAACAGTTTATAATTTTATGATTTATCGATACTGAAAAATAATTTCCAAGGGCAAGATACTAAAAAAGCAGTATCGAGATACTAGATACGAGATACTTTGCTTTGAAGTATCGCGATACATGATACTCGATACTTCATACTTCATCGAGATACAAAATACAATTGTATYTAAGATACGTATCTTAGATACTTGTATCGAAGATACTGCCCAACCTTGCTTATAGTTAGATAGTTGAAACTTACATGTTATTTGTATTTGAATCTATTCTCCATATTTTTACCATACATCCAGTGATATTAGTCATCGAACTCGTTATGACATCTGTGTTTTTCTCAATGACCGACGGTTGTTTTCCCAACRCCAGTGTTATTATTTTCTGATCATCCAAAACGTAAACCTTTGCGTTCAAAAACATATGTATGTTACTCAAAGAGCTTATAATGGATAGTTTTATCAAAATGTAAAACTAACAAAGACATTTGTAATCGCCGATCTCCCGTTGGGAGCTCCAGCTCTGTCGGTTGCTCGTATATCAAATCCAAAAACGGTGTCATTCAGAAGTTGATTGAATCCTCCGACCGTCCGTATTAGACCCGT